GCCGCTGGATCCTCGACGTCCACCTCCACGGTGTCCGACTCCTCGTGGCCTGCATGCTGCAACTACATGGATATATACATATGGACTCCTTGAGCTTCAAATACCCGGCCTTCCAGGCATATCACAGAAGCTTTAAAATCTCCCACATCGTCGTTCCAGTAGAGCCACCCGCCTTAGGCGACAACGGTTTTCTTCTACCCAAATTAAGAAAACACCTAGGACCAGGGCTGGCAGGCACGTTCATGGCCTGCACGTCTGGGTGCTTGAAGTACATGTCACCTGCACGAGTGCACGAGCCAATTCACTTGATTCCATGCAGACACTATATATAACTGCAGCCTCCAACAGACAGGATCTTCCACCCCATCTTGGCCGACCAGGAAATCGTGGTGCCTGCAAAACAATTGCAACCAAATGAAAGGCTATATATCCATATCACTTGCATGGGGGCACCGGCCTTCATCATTCTTGTATTTCCCCCTCCCGGACTTCGAGAAGTCCGTGTGGAGCTGCAGCCGCTCCACCACATCGGCCTGTTATTTTTGGGGCGGTGGCATGTGTGTGCATGTGGTTGTACAGGGGCCCCACCTCCACAGCGGAGGGAAGGCTTCGCGACAAGAAGCTAAAGGACATCATCACTCCCAAAAACCACGGCAGCTTCACAAGCCAAAAGAGCTGAAAAAGCAAGCATGGCGCAGACGTGGCACCCACTGCAACAAGGGCAAATGTGCATGCAGAAACACGACACCAATGTTCAGAGAGCTTCGGTCGATGTCGTCTGTCCAAAGACAGCATCGGGCAATCAAAGTGTGGAGCCGTTGTGAGTTTGCATCATTGACAGTAATATATACATATGTATATATATATATATATTTTTTTCACGGTGTGTTGATACATACTATACATCAAGTATACACATTGCATGGATGCACGGAAGATACATGCGAGACTGCATGCAGAATCACTTCTTGGCCTTCGCCGGGGAGCCAACGATGCCCTTCGGGGCCGGGTTCTTGGCCGGGGAGCCATTCAGGATGCTCTTCAGGGCCGGGCTCTTAGCTTTTGCCTTGGCCTTGCCCTTGGCTTTCGCCGCTGGAACCTTCTTGGCCTCCTTGTCGGAATCCTCGCTGGCATCGGTCTTGTCCCGGGAGCTGTGCCTTCTTTTCTTCCGATCGACAGGCATTTGTCGATTCGCCTGCTCCATGAGCCAATTGAAATTTTCGGAGAGCATCTCCACGAAGATGCTCCCGGTAGACAGGCCCTCGCTGAGGATCGACAGCTGAAAGCCATCGATCGTAATGTCGACGATCGCCGGCAACAGGTGCAAATGCTTGGCCAAAGCCTTCACCTTATCCTTCTTGCTTTTCTTCTTCTTGGGCTCGTCGTCGGCTTCATCGTCCCTCAGGGCCTCTTCCAGCAGCTTGTCGCAAGCAGCCTGCCTCTTCTCGATCAAATCGTCAAAGAGCTTTATGTTCAGCGACCCCGATGATTCCCCTTGGCCGGACCGCAAGTCCAGTCGTTTGCCTGTGATCATTTTCACAAGCTGCGGGGACCATTTCGAGACAGCACAGAAGACCCGGTCGTCGACACTCTTTTGGGTTGGCATCCAGCTTCGGTCACCCAGCACGACAACCTGTTTCGTCACAATCTCGAAGCAAGCCATGATGATGCGATGCACGGGGGAAATGGTTTGATGCGAGGCTGGAGCTGTTTTCTGCCGGCGAGCACACATGCCCTGCCTAGGCGAAAACGACACATCCATGCAAGCAGCAACTTCAACAATGCACCTGCACTTCATCACGGGCGATGCATCCTGCACTTGCATACAGAAGCATATAAAGCTGCACTGCATTTCCATCCGCAAAGCACAAGCTCGCACACCTGAGGGATCCTCGCACCATGCAGCTGCACAGAACACTCTATGAATGGTCGCTCTATAAAAACCATGCCCCTCGGATGCTTGCAACCTGCAACAATTGTACATATCCTTCTCCGCAATGCATTAGAAACAGACCTCACATATACATACAATGGAATCTTTCAGATACTGCAAGCTCAAGCAATGGCTGCTGCTGGTATAGCAGCACACTGGACTGCATACGGATGCCGAAACATCACTTCTTCTGAGCCTTCTTGCTGGAGCCACCTGAGCTCGCCGATGCTCTTTTCTGCGCCGAAGTCTTGTGGTCGTCCTCCACTTCCTCCAAGGGAGCCACCTGCACCGTTTTAGATCTGAAAGCCACAATGGGGCTGCCTTCCGGGATCTTCTTGGTGTTCTTAAAAACCGGAATCTTGATGCTCTTCTCTGTTCCCGCAATCCAAACAAGCTTCACATTGCAATCCTCTTCCTGATGGCTGTGCTGCACCAACCAAAAGGGAACTACCACATGTTTGCAAGTGTCGTCGTCGTTATCTTTGGGTAGAATGTTGGCTCCGGAAAGCCAAAACTTGCGGTCGTCTCCTTGCCAGTCCGTCTGCACCTCAAACATGGTGTTGCCTTGGCCCTGGGATTTCTGCACGACCTTGTTGGTCATGGGCACCATGCAGAGTTTCTTGATGTCCGAGTTGGCAAGCAACACCCTCGAAGGCTTCAGCTGCAATTTCAGGTGCTCCGATCCACACTCCATGGACTGGTGAAGCTTGTAGAGCTCAAGCTGAATCTTCGATGCAAGAATGCTGGCATCAAAATCCACATGGTGCTGGTACTGGTCCAAGCTGTCTAGCATTGTGGGCTGCACACGAGGAACAAACACGACCCAATCTCCAGCCAGGATAACATTGAGATCCACCTTGGCCGTCTTTCCCGAAGCCATCTTCACAAAGACCATCTGACCTTTCACTTCTGAAAGAACTCCCTCGATTTTGTCAACCTTGCGACGGATGTGTGCACCCATAGCGAAACCCTTGGAGGCCAATATCTTCTCAGGTTCCTTGATACTGCCGTCTTCAGCAAGCTCAAGCATCACACCTGCAGCAGAAGGCTGGGAAGCAGTCGCTGCAGTTGCAGCTGGTTCACTTTGCTCAGACACCGACTCCCATGGCAAAGGGAGTGCAACACCGGTCAGGTTTCTTGCCACGAGCAAAAAATCGTGCCCAATCGCTTGGACTGTTTTGTACTTTTTCTCGTCCGGCACCTTGATGCCGAGGACGTGCGATGCTATCGTCATATCCATAGTGGCCAGAGCTTGCACGACCCGCGAATCCGTCATGAAATCGCGAGCTCCATCCCTTAAGATGCCCCTGACCGTGAGGATCATGTTGTCAGCTTCCTTGACCTTGGGGAAGAGTTCTTTAGAAGTCATCTTCTTCACATCAGCAATGGTCACATTCTGCCTCAAGTATGCCTGCTTCATGAGTGCATGGCGAAATGCTGCAACGGGATCTGACTGGTGCCCTCGGCAATCTTGCCCGAAAGCCTCCCACAGGACAGGCCCCAATTGCCGAGAAGAAGGGCAGTAAGCCCGCACAAAGGACTCCGTCTCCTGAAGGAAGCTCGCATCGGCACCCCCGGAAGCCTTCAGACAAAACGTAAACATGTGGGGTACGGAGGCATGGCAGCTTGGTTTGCTGGCCAATATCAACTTCTTCAGAGATGCAAAAGCCGGTGCTTGGCCAGTCTGAGTCTGCAAGCGGTAGTACGTGGAATGGATGCGACGGAGTACTTGTAGCTCATGTTCTCCTCGTTGAAGCGATGTGTTGCCTGACCGGGATATCAAGCTGATCAGCTCTGGGAACTCTTCCGCCACGGAGGAGGAGATCACGTCCCACGTCAGGCCTTGATCAGCTGCTTCGTGGAACGAAGCATCCCGAGCACGAAGAAGCTCCATGCTGAGCTTTCCACCCACACTCACGACCTCGTTGCCGTGGCTTGCACCTTGTTGAAAAAGTCGCAAAGCGCAATTGGTATGTGATCCGCAGATCGAAGTGATCTTGATCGCTTCCGGCTCAAGGCTTCCGAGAAGACCGTGGGCTGACTCGAACAGCTTCTTGTTCCACTGCCGGACCCAGTCTCCTTCGACTTCGACACCGACCGCATGCACACGTGTGGGGACATAGCCCACATCGACAATCGAGTCCACAAGATCACGAACGTCTTGTGGATTCACTCCGTACCCATCCCGGTTGCAGGGATGGATCCCCACAAGGCTCGCCTCCAACTTCATGGAGGTCAAGAGATGCTTGGACTTCAAGTAGTTCAAGCAGTTCTCCACGATTCGGACAAGGCCGTCGCCATCCGAGGCTTCTCGAAGGAAAGCCTGCAGCCGCTCTCGCACATCCGACTGCAAAGGCATGATGGGCAAGCGAGATGGAGGACGGAGCTGAAAATCTGCCTGCGAGCCAAGGGCCCTGCAATGGCGATAGATGGCTGCAATGCATGGAGTCATGCACAATACACAGAAGGCAAGCATGCGAGCATGTCCTCAACACATGCAATGCAGCAGCTTTCCATGCAATTTTCAATTGCATCCTGAATACATGCGGCAGGAGATCTCCATGCAAGCTTCCGTTTGAAGCTTTGCAAATGCCAGGAAAACAACTTCAAATAAACAACTTACACCACTTACCTAAATCAGTTACACAAAGTTATCTAAGTTTGGCAAGTTGCTTAAAAGACTTGTTCTATCTTACTTATAAGTTCCACCCTGCTTTTGGCTAAGTGACTCAACTGCTTGCTCCACTTCTTAATTCAAGCCTCGGACTTGCTAAGTTGTCCATACAACATAGTATATATACAGCACTTATAACTCATGTTAACGAACTTGTAACTCAACTTAACCTGATTGTCTAAATCTCCTAAACCATGTATTCGATTACTAAACACCCCGCCCCTTCAAGTGCTAGACCATGAAAGCTAAATTTCTTTCTGACATTTTCTGACTGCCATGTCGTGCCCTGTTGAGCTTCGAGCTTCTCTGCATGCCCCGAAGCGCAATTGCCCTGTAGCCCCTGTCAGCATCTCTCCTGCACCCCAAGCCCAAGCCACGCCGCAGGCTCCAGGCCTTCTTCGCCTTCGGATCCGGTTGGAGAGGATGCATCAGTGGCTCGAACTTCAGCTGATGCAGTAAGCCTGACACCAACCGACGGTCCGGTCTCATTCGGATTCAGGCCCTGCCTCATTACAGAGTTCAGCGGTCTAGCGTACACGGGTGCGGTTCAGCTTCAAGGGTTCAGATGCGAGATGCTCACTCACGCCCCTGCGAAGACCCCAGCAGCGCCTAAGCTTGCGAGGTCGGCATCGGCCATGTCGTTGATGCGCTTGCACACCTCCACAAGATCCTGCATAATGTGTCGCATGCAAGCATATATATATATATACACACACCAGAAAATATACTTGACTATGTAGTTGCGGTACATGATATGCACAGTATAAACACACATATGACGTTTTGAACAGACGGAGATGAAGAATCGGCCCTCTGCATGAAACTTTGCACTCCTGTTCGAAGCTGCTGCGTAGCCAGCTGCCCATGCGGTACAGGAAGTCGATGGCTTTTTTTTCGTCGCCGCTGTGTGCAGGCGGTAAGGAGGATTGCACAGGCGTCATGACAGTCTTGGACTCGATGGCCTGACAATGCAGAGTCGCACGATGTCACCCTAAGCCTACAGCAATGCCTTTGGGACGGCCTCCAGCTCCTGCATCCGCTTGCCGTCATTATGCTTCATGTACAATGCCCGACGTTCATGGAACCACACTGCGATATTCGCACACTCTGCTTTGCTCTTCGTCTTCATCTCATCGAAAATACTTTCCGTTGATGCCTCTCAGACAGCTGTGCAACTTCTGGCAGCAACCGCAAGTCACGGATGGGAGGCTGGTTAGGCTCCAAAGACAGCTTGCAACAGAACTCAACATGCAGAAACCCGGAGAACTGCTCGAATTTGTCGTAGTACTCTGTTATATATACCCCACACCCTGTTTATATTCTTCAGGCCCCAGCATAGTACTTGCGGAGAGGAGTTGTATGAAGCAGGAGTCCGCATAGCCCACAAACAGACGATCACGAGCTGAGCAGGTAAGCCTCCCCTGCGCTTACACAAAAGCTCCCCCATTTGGGGTCTAAGACTTGGGGTGGCCCCAAGTTTCTGTGCCTCATCATCGAAGCTCATGACTTCAAGCAACTCCTCATGAAGCTTCGCCATGTCTTGGCGCAGCTCTGGGTTGTCCAACTTCTTCTTCAGCTCTTCCTGTGGGAGGCCATGGGGGCACGTGCAGGCACAAGGGCATGTGGCAAAAAATGCTGTGCTCCAACCTTCCCACCCCGCACGAACGAGCTGAAATGCTCAGTAGGTCCAACGACGGAGGATGCTTCTGGAAAGGACACCACAGAGATGTAGTATGATGTAGTATACCGGAGAGATACAGACACAGCAGACTCAGCAGACTCAGCTTACGCGAGGGCCAAGACTTTGAACTCAAAGCCGCAATCAGCCCTGAGCCTGAACCCTAAAACCCATCAGTCATGCTGCACTTGCTTCTCAACAGCACTACACAGCCGGTCCTTCTCCTTCATGAGTTTCTCGGAACCTCTGAGCTCTGCCAAAGCTCTCCAGTCCGAGATGCACCGGTAAACTGCAAAGAAGAGGTAGCAAAAGGACGACAATGTCGAAAGCAGGAAGCAAACACAGAAGAACTTACATATATTCTCGTGAGGCACCCCGCGCACAAATGCGAAGTCGACATGGAAGGCTTTCTCTCGAGATTGGGCCTCAGATGGGACGTTGACAGCTCGCTTCGACAGCAATCTGGTATCGCGCAGAACTTCAAGGGGGATCAGCACGGCAACGACCAGGAAGGCAAACGCCAGCCCGGTCCCCACGAAGGGTAAAGCTCTGAATAATTTCTTTTGCTCATGGGAATACACGTAATAACACCTTACAGACATGCGCAAGGCTTCTGTAGCTGCGGCGTAGAAGCCAACCATGCAGATGGTACGAGGGAAAATGCCCTCAGGAATGAACGGCAGCCTGTACACACTCTGATGGTACTCGAAGGTATCGCGATCCGCCGGCTCCGAAACGTCATAGATGTCGTTCAGTACTGCAAGCCCGGATATCTTCCCCTCAGACGTCTGCATTGAGATCCCGTAATGGCAAGACGTCACTACAACGTCATCGGCATTAATGTGGGCGGACTCTGCCGCTGCAACTCCGAGCTTGGAATGCCGCACGGTAAGCTCCTTGACGGATGCCATGCATCTGCTCATCGTGATGCCCGTCTCCAAGGCCGCTTCCACGATGACGCGCTTCAACGACAGATCTCTACGAGTACGGTCATAACTGGTATAACAGTCAGCACGAACTCCTTGAGTAACGAAGCCGATATAAACATCTTCCAAGGACATGCCGGTGGGCGCTTCCTGAACAAATCGAACCTCGGATTCCGGTTACTACAAGGTTGCTACAGCAAATGTGTCAGCACTCAGGCATGCAAGTCTCTACCAGAAACTGAGATCTGTGCCCCCCCACTGCTGCCGTCCCAAGATCCGAGAATAGTGGATTTTCGGACATCTAGGCGAGCATTGTCAACATCGACGGCAATGGTGCGCGATGCGGCATCCACACAGCAGTTCTCGATCTTGACGGAGCTGCCCGGGCCGCCTCGATATCCGTAGGCTCGGATGTTGCCCATGTTGGAATGGAAGATGTGCAAGTCCTGCCTCTCTCCTTCGACACTCAAGCTGCTCATCTGTGACCTGTCCAGCACAATGCTTGCATTTCCACCCTCCACGATGACTGACCCCTCACCTTTGGACCTCGCGACTCTCAAGTTGAGGTCGCCATCATACAGGGCAGCAGCCCCTCTGAACATGCAGTCTTCAACATCGATGTCTGCCTTTATGCCTGAAAATTGAAGCCAATGTTCTCTGCGCTGGAGACTGGTTCGGAGGTAGCACTTCGCGGCTTTTAGCTTGACCGTCCCGCCATCGACCGCCGTGATGAGGGTCGTGAGTTTTAGGCCTTCCAGACTGAGCGATGCACCATCCTCAAGGACAATGTTGGCGACCAGATGGGAAAACGCATCAGGGCACCAAGACGGGACCGCGCCAGGGAAATACCCACAGTAAGCTAGGTAAGAATCGTCTTTAATACAGAATCCGGACTTCTGCGCGGATAGGCGCCAGGACTGGCCGCGGGGAATCCGCACCTCGCCGGGTTTCCTTCGCTCTTGTTATGAACCATACTTTAAACTACCATAAATATTGGGATCTATAGTAACAGTAAGTAAAACAGCGGGGTTCCTTATTCTGGCAACTGAAAACCCATAACAAGAGAGCGGCTTCTGCTTTGGAGCTTCAGGGCACGCTGCAGCCAGGTCTGTGACCTCGCCCTCCGGCAGGGCGCAATCGAGGTCATACGACGACGCCTTAGAACCCGCACATCAAAGGTAACAAAAATGGCACCTCACTGTTTAGGGTTTTGTGCTTTAGGGTTTTCAAGGGTAGAGATGACGAGTTTGCCGGCAGCATGCAACGAAGCTCCACTGCTTTTTTACCCAAATTCGGAGCCCAAAGCCCTGCCCACATCGGGTTTGGGGAGGTTTGCACTTCGGATATAACATAGGGGCCTTAATCATCAGACTAGGGTTTTGGGGCATATTAAACTATACACGTATAACAAGGAACCCCCCAATTTAGTGTAGGTATGCATATATGTATTTATTTAAGCTTTGGGCTCGCTCAAGCAAAAGCCTCCTCTCTTTAACACCCAAACCAGCCCAAACCGCTAAAACCCTAAACCTTAAACCTTAAACCCTAACCCCCCAAAAACATGAAAGCAAGGCTGAATCCGGGTTTGCCAGCCTTGGTCTGAACAGCGACTTCGAGGGTAGAGCCGACGACGTCCTCGAACCCAGGGTCGGGTTTGGGCTTAGGGTTTAGGGTTGAGGGTTTAGGCTTTAGGGTTGAGGGTTTAGGCTTCAGGGTTGAGGGTTTAGGCTTTAGGGTTGAGGGTTCAGGCTTCAGGGTTGAGGGTTTAGGCTTTAGGGTTGAGGGTTTAGGCTTTAGGGTTGAGGGTTTAGGCTTTAGGGTAAAGGTTTAGGGCAGGGTTGAGGGTTTAGGGTTCAGGCCTATCTGTGTTGCTTTTTTTGCTTTCGGGATTGACGGTTTGGGTTTCGGGTTTGGGTGCTTCCAGATTTGGTTGGGGCTGGGCCTTATGTCAATCTAGGGCTAGGGTCGACAGAGTCCAGGCTTTGCTTTGCAGGATTTCTCAAGGCTTTGTGTCTTGGTTACTTAATTGGCTGGATGGCTTGAGCGGGCTGCGGTCGCACGTGAGCTGCTTACTATGGGCGTTCTCTGAGTCCTCTGACTTTCGGACACAAGAGGCATGAACCCCTGCTCCACGCCGACCTATTGCGTGCTCAAAACATAAATGATGCACATGACTTGACCCGCGGACCACCGCGACTGCCAATAAAATCTGAACTCGAATTTGATCCTCTGCGACTCCCTGAGCACTGCAATCCAATCGTATGCTTATTTAGCCCAGAGAACCTGAAGCATCCTGATGCCAGAGACTATTGAAAGGATCAATGCTTGCTGGTATCCCTGGTACTCTTTCTGCCTTCCGACCCTCGTACTCTAGCTCCTGAAGCTGGACGTGTGCGCGCGAGGTGTTACATAGCGATGTTGCCGGCCTGGGGTGGCGCAATGCTAAGCCTCTCGGCCTTGAATTCCACATCCTCGGGCTGCAGGTAGCGGCTGGTGTGGGCCTTGCACGGCTTAGTCTGCGACGGTGCTGCTCACATACGAGAATACGACGAAACGGCTTTGCAGAGCATCCCGAGTTCCGCCAGAGCTAGTTACCCAAATGACAAAAGCAGGATGCTCCTTGTGCCTCCCCAAACCCACCGAAGGCTTCTACAGCTGATGCTTCTAGGATACCCAGTAACCTAAGAACAAAAAGGCCTCTCTTTTTGGTATTGGGTACTTTTATAAGGAACCTAGGACTACAAAAAAGGAATAAGGGTACTACTGGGCATCCTAGGCTTGGCTTGTCTTCCGCGAAATCGCCGGCCTTGGCCTCCCCGGGCTCAGCAGTGATTTCGAGGGCGGACCCAACCTCCGAGGCCGGGGCAAAGGGTTGCTTGGCTTTTTTTTTTTTGCTTGGCTTTGGGGCTTATACCTTTGGAGGGGGTTGGGGGTTTAGGGTTTAGGGGTTTTGGGGTTTAGGGCTTATACCTGGAACCCAAAAGTATGTAGAATAAGAGCCTTTTATAGGTTTCGGGCCAATGTTTTGCCTACTTTTGGGAGTCTAGGTAAGGCTTTCTGCGTTGGTGCCTTTGTTTTGGGACTCCGGGCTTGGAGTTGCGGTTTAGGCCCCAGGTGTTTCCAGATTGGGTTGGTGCCGGGTCGACAATCAAATATGTGAGGTTAGGATCTGCAAGGTCTGTCTTCAGGCTTGTTTCCTGACTAATCCCTTGGGCCGGATGCCTTCAGTGGCCGACTCCGCTTGCCTAGACACCTACTTCCCCACTTCGTGGTGAGAACTTGACGGACCACCGAATCGTGGACCATAATCTAGAAACGAATCTGCCGTGCGATTCCCTGAGCGCTGCAGTCCTGTAAATCCGGGAAAGCATGATTAACTCGCAGAGCCTAGAGCATGAGACACTTTCGTAACTATTGCAATTACTCTCAACCCAAGCGAAGCCCCTGGCGTTGGACGTGCGCACACGCATGCGCGCGAGGTGTTACATAGAGATGTTGCCGGCCTTGGGTGGCCCAATGCCAAGCCTCTCGGCTTCGAAATCCAAATCCTCGGGTTGCAGGTAGCGGCTGGTGTAGATGTTGAACCGAGCTTACATTAAGATGGAAGGGCTTTGCAGAACAATGTGCACAGTCGGCGGGTTTGGCAATGCGGGTCTCGACAAAAACCAGATACCCAGAATTCAAATGCACGCAGTTATTGCACGCAAAGGCTTCGTCAAGCTCTTCCGCACACCCTCTTCCGGGCCGTGGGGGGCCAAAGCTAGACCCAAAGTCGCCGGTGCCTATAAACTTTTAAAGGCAGCCGGAGGCGCCCGCACGGCCCCTGCAAACAAGGCCAAACGGAGCAGCAGCAAAATGGACCTTCCAGAAGGGTAGCGAGATGGACTTCATGAAGCTTGCAAGGAAACCCTGCACCATGCTACGATGTCAAGAGGTGTTGGGGGGATAGAATGAGCGTGAGCACTGGCCGGCCTGGGGAACTCCATGGCCACTGGCCAACTATGGCTTTCGCAGACACAGGCTACATCACAGCTGCTGCACTGTAGAAAAGGTGAGAAAACACCTTGAGCATTTGTCAACAGCGGCGGCGGGCCATCTCCGGCAAATAAGGGTAGCCCCCGCGGACCACATACCCAACCTCCTCCCTTGGGGAGGGAGGATGGTTAACCCTAAGGGCCGAATGACCCCTAAAACAGGAAATCGCCAACCAACCCTAAAACCTGAAACCAGCGCTTCATCGAAGCCTCATCGAAGCCTTCTGTGTGGCTAGGGCGCTCCAATCGAAAGAATCGGCCTTCACAGGTCCGTTTGGGGCTTGCTGTGTCGAGGGGTTAGGGCTTAGGGGTTTAGGGTTTATAAGGTCAGGGTGGCAGAGGCTGTTTGAAAAAGTAGAGGTTCACAAGGTGTCGATTTCAGGAGTCAACAATCCCAAAATTCCTTAATACGTGCTTACAAGGCCGCGGACATCTCAGCCAGCGTACCCAGCGTCCCCAGCGTCCCCGGCGTCCGCAGCGTCCCTGGCGTCCGGCGTCCCCGGCGTCCCCAGCGTCCCCAGCGTCCCTGGCATCCGGCGTCCCCAGCGTCCCCAGCGTCCCCGGCGTCCCCAGCGTCCCCAGCGTCCCCGGCGTCCCCGGCGTCCCCGGCGTCCCCAGCGTCCCCAGCATCCCTTGCGTCCCGGTGTCCTTATAGCGTCCCTGATGTATGTGTATGTGTCTGTGTCTGTGTCTGTGTATGTGTATGTGTATATATATATATAGATATATGTATGTGTGTGTGATTATGTGTTATGCATGCTGCATACATATATACATGTCTTTACATACATACAGATATACGTGCATATAAGTATCACCATCGTCTGAAAAGCAACACTCTCCGAGCATTGCAAAGAAACACCACTACACATCATCATAAAAATCATCATCATTTCAACAATCATCATCTTCATCAACAACACGGCCTTCGACATCTTAACCGTCTGAGAAACACTTAAGACTTAACAACATTCAACGTGCAGCGCAAGGACACACCACTACACATCATCATAAAAAATCATCTTCATTTCCACCAATCATCACCTTCATCAACAACACCAATGTCGACATCACCATCGTCTGAGAAACACTTAACAAGACTGAACGTGCAGCGCAAAGAAACACCACTACAAAGAAACACCACTACACAACATCATGAAAATCATCATCAGGTCATATAAACATCATCTTCATCAACAGCACGGCCTTCGACATCTTCATTCTCTGAAAATCAGCACTCACCGTGCATCGCAAAGAGACACCACTACACGTCATCATAAAAATCATCATCATTTCAACAATCATCATCTTCATCAACAACACGGCCTTCGACATCTTCATCGCCTGAGAAACACTTAGCAGCACTCAACGTGTATACACCATAAAAACCATCATCATATCAACAATCATCATCTTCATCAACAACACGGCCTTCGACATCTTAATCGTCTGAGAAACACTTAACAACACTCAACGTGCAGCGCAAGGACACACCACCACACATCATCATAAAAATCATCTTCATTTCCACCAATCATCACCTTCATCAACAACACCACTGTCGACATCACCATCGTCTGAGAAACACTTAACAAGACTGAACGTGCAGCGCAAAGAAACACCACTACAAAGAAACACCACTACACAACATCATGAAAATCATCATCAGGTCATATAAACATCGAATCATCTTCATCAACAGCACGGCCTTCGACATCTTCATTCTCTGAAAATCAGCACTCACCGTGCATCGCAAAGAGACACCACTACACGTCATCATAAAAATCATCATCATTTCAACAATCATCATCTTCATCAACAACACGGCCTTCGACATCTTCATCGTCTGAGAAACACTTAACAACACTCAACGTGTATCGCAAAGAAACACCACTACACATCATCATAAAAATCATCTTCATTTCAACCAATCATCACCTTCATCAACAACACCACCATCGATATCCCCCGTGCTGCGGCCTTCCCTCGTCTTTCTTGCGTCCCTGCCGTCCCCGGCGTCCCTGGCGTCCCCAGCGTCCCTGCGCGGCGTCCCTGGCGTCCCCGGCGTCCCTGCTCAGCGTCCCTGGCGTCCCTAGCGTCCCCACGTCCCTGGCGTCCCCAGCGTCCCCGGCGTCCCCGGCGTCCCCAGCGTCCCCAGCGTCCCGGGCCCCAGGAGCACATATAATCCAAAATTCATCTTGTAATCAGGGCTCTACATTAAGCCCTGGAAAGGAAATTAAAACTATCCCAAATCGATACCTAGTGCAGAGGCGAAGGGTTTCGGTATTCAGAAACTTGGGTGTCTGCTCGGAAGGCCCACCAACTGTGATCTGGGCGTCATGGACTTGCACGATGCAGCAAGATCGTACATTAAGGACAACATGACCCTGCAACAGCACGGGCTCTGCGTAAACCCCATAGGGATAGGAACCCTTGGAACCCCCCTGTAACCAGCAAGCGACACCCTGTAACAATGCTTTCTCATCAAACCCGGTGAATAGTCACTTTTATGAGGGTCCCGTCCAAAGGTCCTTCAACTTAGGTGGTACTTAGTTGCTGAGTTCAAGAGCACTCCAAATTAAACATGCAGTTCTAAAAGGCAGAAAGTATTCTCCCATAGAGCATTTAAGGATAGATGCCAAGCCCTAAATGTCCAAACCCTAAACCCCTAAACCCAAACCCTAGAAGAGGAAGGGCTCGTACGGATGTCGGAGCTCGGAGACCTTCCATTTCTGATCTGGACTTTGCAACTAGGGTTATGACTTAAAACTAGTTACAATGTCCCATGATCCTCCAAGTAAGGGTTCATGGCTTTTGGGGTTTGATGACTCAAGGGCGTACGGTGTGGATGTGGGGGATTGAGGGATAGGGGTGTCGAGGCGCAACCGTTTGGGGCTCAAGGGGTTTACGATTCCGAAACCTTTCCCCCAAAGTTCAAACCCAGAACGCTGCAGCCCTCAGTTTCCCTAAAAGGAATTGCGAAAAATGCACACAACCGTACCAATCCTTACTTCAGCTAAAAAGCCTTTATGAAATAAAGCATGTTTCTGACACTTGAGTCGGCTATCGCCTTGCCTCAAGATGTCGCCGGCGTTGGTCAAAGCTCATTGGGATTCCATCCTGAACCGTAGCTGTACCCTACATGAAGGATCACAGGACTTAGTAGCTAGGGTTGCGTGTAAGGTAACTCTACTATACTTAGTTACACTTACTTATATCCCCCAGTAACCCTAAACCCTAAACCCTAGCCCCTAAACCGTTAAGGTACTTCCAATACCCTTCATTGCTGAGCCACTTGATCCTCTGCGTAAGGGCCCTAGAGCATGTGGTGGCCTCCAAACGGTTTAGGGTTCCTTTAAAAGGGATCTAAAAGGGTTCCTAGAATGGGATCTATAAGGGTTTAGAGTCTACTTGGAGGATCATGGGACTTAGTGAGTAAGGTTGTAAGTACCTTCATTGGGCTTATAAGTAGTTACACGTATGGTTGCCCTAATTATAACCCTATTATAGTTACTAAGTGCCATGGTCCTGTAAGTAAGCCCTAAACCCTAAACCCTATAGATCCCTTTCAGGAACCCCTATAGATCCCTGTTAAGGAGCCCTTTCAAGGAGCCCTAGTTACTAAGTCCCGTGGTCCTTTAAGTAGGGTTTCCGACAGCCCCAAGAGACCCAAGAGCCCTCTCCAGGAGATTTTGGATCCTCCTGAGGAGTCACCTAAACCGTAGCTCTGGAGCTTCGGGTTGAAGATCAAAGCTGGGTGTTCGGGTTTAGGGGTTTGTAGGGGTTTGGGGGTTTGGGGGTTTAGGGTTTAGGGGTTTTGGGGTTTAGGGCTTGCCTGGACCCCAAAAGTATGTAGAATAATAGCCTGTTTGTAGGTTTTGGGCCATCATTTTGCCTACTTTTGGGGGTCTAGGTAGGGCTGCAGGGTTTATAGGGCCTATAAGGGCTGGAAGACAAAGCTTAGGGCTTAGGTTCTGAGCAGGCCCCCTTAAAATAAAGAGTTTAAGGTATAGCTTAGAGACTTAGAGTTTGGGATTCCTTTTACCTCTGAGGGTTTGGGGTTAAGGTCATGTTGGAGTTTCTGGGTTCAAGATAATTAAAGCGCAAATGAACCCTACAGAAAACTAAAGCGTGCAGGGACCCTACAGAACCTACCCTTCGCGGGCTCCGTATACTATAATCTCCTGGTATAAGAACCCTAGACTACCCTGAACCCTCTTGAAACGGTAGGGCATCAAGGGTAAGAGTAGGGTTTAGGGCTTCGCGTAAAGTTATAACCCTAGTTACTAAGTCCCATGATCCTTTAAGTCAGCCCTATACCCTAAACCCCATAGATCCCAAAAAGGAAACCCCTATAGATCCCTTTTACGGAGCCCTAGTTACTAAATCCCATGATCCTTTAAGTACTCCAGGTTGGAAGCCTTGTCTCCAATCGCCTGCTCCACCTGCGGAATGATGCAACGAAGCGAAAGGAAAACGGGCCGCCTTCGTCAAATCGCCCTCACCTATCGGGCTGTAGTGGTGGCTCTTCATGTACACTTCCCCAGCCTCCGTTTGCCAGCTGAAGTGAACATCAGTCACCTAGTGAAGGCAGTCTGAGAATCTTCCAGAAGCGGACTGTCGCAACCGTAGGTGACAGCTCGGATTTACTCAAGCGACGCCGGTAGAAGGCGCCAAAGAAAGCACCTCTGGACAGGCACCCAAAAAAAACAGTTGTCTTCCTGTGTGAAGGGGTCTGGCGGACCTCCGAAACATGATTGAAACCAGGCCCGCCAGGAATCTGTTTGGCTTCCCAAGCGCATTGCACAACTAGGGTAGTCCCCAGCATTTTCTCGAAGGGCTCACGAATCTATTGGTCTCCTACTCCACTGAATGCGATACTGTCGACCTGACATTCTACAAGAAGTCAACAAGCGCTAGTGATACTATGTACCGTAGCTAGAGGCCCAAGATACTACCATTATGGAAGTGCAGGCACCAAAAGACACTCCTAATCATGTTCTTGGAGCACATGACTCCATAGCAGTAGTGTGTTTGGGCCCTCTTGGTAATACACCCTAGACCCTAAATCCCTTCTGGAAGCCTTCAAAGGAACCGTATAAAGGAACATTTAATCCTATATGAGCCCGCTGGGTTTCCTCTTGAGCACCTGCACTCCTAGGAGACCCAGTAACCTAAGAATAAAAAGGCCTCTCTTTTTGGTGTTGGGTAACTTTATAAGGAACCTAGGACTACAAAAAAGAAAATAAGGGTACTACTTACTACTGGGCATCCTAGTCGAAACCCGTAAGGATGCCGAAGTCAAACGTTGGCTGGGTTCCTGGGTCTCGGGTTCCTGAGCTTTAGGGTTTTAGGGTTTAGGCTTTACTGTTTAGAGTTTTAGGGTTTAAATTAGGCTTTACTGTTTAGAGTTTTAGGGTTTAGGCTTTGCTGCTTAGGGTTTTAGGGTTTAGGCTTTGCTGCTTAGGGTTTTAGGGTTTAGGGTGCCCTTTTTCCTGGTATTCAGGTTTAAATTCATCAGTTGGACCCCAGAAAATACGAAGGGCAAAAGGGTACCACTCAGGTTGGGTTCGCAGGTAAGTCTTTGAGATGGCGCTATGGGCCTCAACCCTCAGGGTTCCCTACCCAAAAGGACCCAACGTAGTTCCTTTTTAAGGTTCATATATATATATATATATATATATATAGAATAGGGTTTGGATCGAGCCTCAGCGGGAAGCTAGGCATTGCCACAACCCCAGTGCCCAAGCGTCGTTTGTCACGGCGCCGCCATCGCCTAATTGGCATAGGCGGGCACGACGACAGCGCCAAAGAGCAAGGCGCAGCCTGTGGACGCATCGGCGTCTCGGCATTCCTCCTGTTCAAAAGGACCTACAGCTACTTGCTGCGCACCACACCAGGCCGCAGCTCAAAGAGCTACGTCGCCCCATGGGCGGCAAGAAGTGGAAAGAAGGCGAATGGCGCGACGATACAGCGCCGTGGCACCAGGAGCATGGACGCTCCTATCGCTTATGGCCGGGTTCGTGGCATGCTTCACCGAAAGCCCGCAACGACCCGCCGCGATACGACCAAGTGGTCTTGCAGGATGGCAAGGGCCAAGAGGGTCGGAGACAGAAGGAGGAAGAAACAGTGCTCACGGAGACCAACCCGCTACTCCGAGAAGTCCAGAAAGCCCTTTCCGGAGCCCGACGTGCAGACGGAAAGGTGCGCCGCCTTCGCGAGGACAGATGCAGAAAGGAGAAGCAGTGGAAGGTGTTCCAGCAGCAGTCCAAGGCTGCCTTCGTCAAGGAGGAAAAACGCTACGAAGCTGCCCTGGAGAAGATAGAGACGGAAATAGCGGAGGCTACAGCAGCTGGACAAGCTGCCTCGCAGATGATTCACTCCTTGGTGAACCATGGCATTCCGACAAAGGCGACGGAGGAGGTCCCTGCGAGGGGATCATGGGAGGCCTTGCTGGAGCAAGAGGAGCCACCGATGGAGCCTGGCTTTTTGTCCGATGCACTTCGGGCCGCTCAGCAAGCCCGGATGAGGTGCAACAGCGATGGCAACCACTCCTCTGGGGCTGTTGCGCCTCAAGAGGCGGCTTTGAAACTGCTCCGGGATACTCTGGCATCCCTTCCGCCGGAGATTGGCGCCTCTCTGGGCCTGGGAACAGTACCTGGGAGCTCCAACACAGCGGGCATGGTGGATGGGTCTGGCTTCGGACCGGGGGCACCTACCCTATTGGCTCCAGCTGGTCCCAAGGAACCATATGCCAGTTCGCCCTCCACGACGACCATGGATGCTGCGATTCGAGCCACTACCAGCCCAAGCCCTCAACCCAAGGTGAAAGCTGGGAACAGGCAGCCAGTCAAGGGTGCAGCCATACAACCAGTGCACACCAGTCACCCCTCGATGGGCTTGACTGGGAAGTTGGAGGCCAAGAGGTCTGCGCTCCTACCCTTCGGCGGGGGTTACAAGCCGGAGTCGGAGGTGCAGATCGTCATCACCGAGCCGACCACCGCAGCGGCCGCTGCTCACGAAAGCCAGGAGGACGATGCCGACGAAGAAATGGGAGCGACCAGAGCCCCCCCCGCTGCAGGATTAGACGGAATGGGATGATGAAGGGCCGTGGGTGGCATGGGAACAGGGCGAGGAGTGTTGTTCTGCCAGACGGCGATGACTCCAGCACTGGGCTGATGTTGCCTTGTTGCTGGGTTCATGGACCTGACGGTGGGCGAGGCACTCTTTGCTATGTTCTTCATTGCTACCCTGTCTCACCGCCGCGTTGTACAGGCTGCTGCGTAGCTAGTACTCGAAGGCGGGGCTCGGCTGAAGTGATCTTATCCATCAATAGTCCTGTGAGTGATGCCTGGGATGATCATGGGATTTGTGATCCCCGGGCACCGAAGTTTTGCTCTCCTCCGACTGCCTCACGGCTTGTGTTGATTTACATGCCAGCTACCCGAGATAGTCAATACGGTAGCTCATCTTGTGTCTGCTATTCTGCTCCTGCCTCCAGGGCTTGGGGCTTTGGCTTTCGGAATTTTGATGCTTGGCGCCTAAGAGATGTATCGGTGGCGCAGGGACATCCGCCAGGCAGCCCTCCGAAGCCTCAGGCAACGAGGCACTATGCCTTCTTCACGTGCCTTTTGCAGGGCTTCCCCTTAGCCCTTGTTCTTGTGTGCATGCCCGTATGTGGACTTGGTCTGTGGGTTTTTCGGACCTATTTTCGACGGGGTGACTGCACACTGCCGGGAGAGGGGCTCGCCTTACATGTTTGGACTCAGGCCCTCAGCGTCGAGCTACCTAACCTCTCACCTTGGCCCGTTTTCCTGTGGCTTGTGGCAAGATGCGCACTTGGGGCATTGGCCGACCCTCTGATAGGCCATGACTCCGGGGCCTGGCTCACATGGACCACACAACAAGCCCAGTCCATCCTGCTCTTGCTTCTGGTCGCCATTACCTTTGCGATGCTTAACACGATTGCCAGAGCCCTCTCTCCGAGGGTTTTTAATAGCCAGAGACAGGGTAGTAAGTATGGGGTTGTCGCAGCAGACATTGTTAGGGGCTGCCTCCAGCCATATGTTGTGCCAAGGCAGATTCAGTCCCGCATACAGAGGCGGCGTGGCTGGGGTTGCCTTAGGCGCGGCAGCAGGGGACCACCAACGGCCAGCGTCGGCCCATTCTCCGGCTTTTGGATCTACCTGCTCACCTTACTCCAGATACCTGTGCAGATACATGGCCTTCCCATTCCTGCCCACGCGTTGCCCTTCTGCATCCTGAGTGGGCAAATGGGCTTCACTGCTGCCATGCCGGGAGGTTCATTCGCCTCCACTGGAGAACACGCAGAGATGTCGACGAGCGCGGCTCCAGACCAACTTGAGGGGGATGAGCACAGAGCCAGTGTATATAGGGCGGCCTGGCCTGCCCGCTACAGCGCTACCGGCCATAACCAGCAACCGGTCCCGCTTGCTACATGGGATCGACTAGAGCGACTTGACGATAGGGATGACTTTCCTGAAGGGTGCTTGGGAGTCATCATTCACTCGCCTTACTATCAATGTACCGAGTGGGTTGCTCAGAACGTTGATGTCACCAACCCTGCACAACTGCTGTGTGATGTGTTGGATTTAAAAGGGGCGCTTTATAGTGGGCTGTGTGATACGGTTGCCCCTGTTAAACCGCAAAGACACCCGGGATTCGCAATGCTCATTGCTTACCCAAGTGCCGCTACTTTCTCAGGACGCAGCACTATGGTTCCGGTAATCCTTGACATTTCAACTCTAGGCGGGTCGTATTACGCCACCATGCTGCCTGAGGACATTACCCTTGAAGACCTCAGAGATTTCATCCTGCCACAGACAAGGGTTGATGTATATGACTTCCGGATCTTCATAGGCCTGTCTCAGATTCCATGGGACGGGCAAGGTCCTGCGCAGCTCGGCGCAGGGGACGTCCTGACTGCACTTCGATACGGACAGGAACCCCCACCTCGACGAACCTTCACAGACCTGTTCGCTCCAGGAACAGAGTGGGGCCGACTCTACCACATGCCGCGGCCACAGTCGACACCAGGGGTGTGTGTGCTTTGCGAAGAGGAAAGGCACGTCCTACAGGAATGGCACCTTCCAGGACACAGTATTGCCCATGCCATAGCAGCGATGCTACACTACGAAACTGGAGATGTCACCATTCATCTTGCAGAGGGGTTCGCAGACTTGGATGTACAGGGGGCCGCCTGTTACTGCCTAGCCTCTGTTGTTAAACTGCCGAGCCCTTTGCATCGCACAGCTGCCCCTCGCCAACGACGGGATGTTTTTCTTGCCTGTGATTTCAGACCGCTAGGTTTTCGACCCAGGGTTTTTCACTCGCACACGAAGACCTTCCATGTGCCCAGCCTGCTTGAGCTCACTGGTATCCATCTCTCTGCCGAGTATACAGTTTGCATCAGTGGTGGCGAGTTACGAAACGAGGAACTCCATGTTTCGGGCAGCTGTACTGTGCTGTTTTGGGCTAGGGCAGTTGAGGACGGGGCACCATCCGAAGCCTCGGACCATCCCGATACAGACGACGACGACACAGGCCCCCCGGACACTGCCGATGATGAGGGAGCCGATGAGGATTCGAGCAGTGATGAAATGGGCAGTCAAGACGGTAGTGTTAGCCACGCCAACGATGCCGGGGCGGCCACCCATCCCCCCCTCGATAGGAGCCGTTCCCCTAAACGATGCCCCTCTGCTTTAGAGGGTAGCAAACATGCCTGCTTGGACGCCCTTCCTTACGCCTGCGTCGAGCCGCCACCCATCGTCCCTTTAAGGGTTGATTGTGGTTTAGGCCCTGACCCTGTTGCGAATTGGACCCTAGTAATCGACAGCACTTGCCCTAAAGTCAGAGCTCACGCCTGCGGGGCCTTTGGAAAGCCACCCGGGCTTGACGCCAACCCACAGCTTGGGCGCCCACAGCGAGATGTGCCGAATCGTGGCCAGGCTCTACAGGATGGACCAGGACACTGGCACCCCGCAGCTCCAACAGCTGAGGAGGCTGCTCAGCAGCCAGGTGCCCAAGCCGAGGAACAAGAGGAGGAGCTCCGCATAAAATTCCTCCTCCTCGCCCCGGATACTCAGCCTGACATCATCAGCCTTGCAATGCCACACCCAATGTCTGTAGCGCGAGTCTTGCGTCGCCTGACACGAGCCAGACCTGCAGACAGGAAGCTCTGGTTTCCTCAACTCTGCCCGGCAGAGCCACAGCCATGTGCCAGTTATGCTGTACTCCTTGAGGTGCCGGAGTGGACCCTTGCGGACTCGCTCGTCCTGATCGACGACAGGACGCAGAACGCAATTTATAGTCTACGCGCCCCTCCGGCCCCCACCAGGGAGGACATCCTCGACCTAGCCGGGCTAGACCATAATAGGGCCGAAGTCTATGTACACAGGCATTCGACGCCACTAGCCGCAGGGGCCCGTGCACAGATTTGGACCGGGGTCACTGTGCGACTCCTGCCGCGCAACGCCCAGCCGCCCCCGGCCTTCTTGCTTGAAGACAGATTACAGGAGCGATTCGGCTGGGACGACGAGGCAGATATCCCTGGCCTATGGGGGCCTGCTGTCTGCCTACTGACAGATGCCGGGGTTACACGTTTTGAGGTTTCTAGACATAGACAGGCACAGGCCCGTAGAGATATTGCTGAGCACATACAGGTCGACTCACGTAGGCTGACCATGAGAGCCTCTAAGCCGGCCATCAAGGACTGCGCGCTGCGTGGGCATCTTGTCAACGCCGTCGTCGTTGCCACTGTTCAGAGGCCTCGGCCCCCGAGTCGACCGGCCGCCCATCCAATTATTATTTTGGATTGCCGACCCATCTTAGAGGGACTGATATGGCGATTCGCTCCAGGAGCCACGATTACGGTCGATGGCCTTATTGGCGCATTCCTGCCTCGTTGCCCCACACGGCATGTTGTTTCAGTAAGGGGTGCTCAGGTTGACAATAGCTCGGGGTCTGCTGTCTACCGGGTTTGTGACGGTAGTAGGCTCTTAGTTGAGTTTGTCGAAGATTTCCTTGAGCATGACACCCCTCATTCGACACAAGATGAGGACAGCTCCAGCCAGGAGGGGAGTGACTCCAGTGACCCGAGTGACTCCTCCTCGGGGCCGCCTCATGCAGGACCCCTCGGTCCGCCAGTCCCTACCCCTGTCAATTTCCCAGGCGAAGGACCGCACAGGCGGCTATGTGATGTAGATGCCACCGATATTGGCTCCTGTCAAGGGTTCACGTCCCATAAGGGGGACTGGTTTGGTCGAGTAGTCAAGTGGAACCGGGCAAATTTCCTGAATGTCATCGCACATGACATGCCTGGGGACACCTCTGTCCTCCCAAGCCAGGGTGCTGGTCCCAAACTTCTTGGACTTGCTGTCCCCTGGGAGACAAATTTCAAGCTTCTCATTGAGCCCAGCAGCAGCTGCCCAGCCGGGCGTGAAGCCATAGCCAATGTCAGACGTGCTGCCATAGAGCTTGACGGTGCTTGGAGATACTTCCGTGAGGCAGATGATGGGGATGTGATTCCCCCTCTCGAAGCTGTAGGGTGGCATCACTTCCCATCTGAGGTATCTGACCTTGCTGTTACTGTGCTAGTTCCGCAATATGAACCGGAACAGCTCCTTATACCAGTCATCGCACCTGCATCGGCTCAATCTGTCATTCAGCTTGCTGGCAGTGCCCGTGATCCGCGCCGAGCTGCCTTGTTTCCGGCCTTGCATGCAGTTGTGCCACAACCCTTCCCAGACTGCATTGTCCTGCAGGCTGCCCCCATCTGGGCGGTTTTTGAAGTCATCGTGTGCCTGGATTTGACCTTATATGACGGCCGTCTATATGCGGTTCAGACGCCGAACCCCGTCTGTCGGCGGGATTTATTGCAGCTTGCCAGCCTGCCTGTTGATGCACTTGTACATGTATTCACCCTTGAGACGGCACTCCCGCTGCCAGCAGACGTTGAGATACGCCTCTTCCCAGGAGCTTGTGTGCGTTTTACAGCCCACGATAGCCCTGTCCCGAGGCCTGTCTTTCTTGAAGACATCCTGTTGTCCGCTCGACAATGGAGCCCTGTGCCGAGGTACCGC